GGTGGAATTCCAGCCGTCAGATCTTCATCGAGTGGTTCAAAATACATATCACTATTTTAATTTTAATTTTTTTCTATAAATCTAATTAAGATGAAATTTTGGGTGTATAGACCTAACGCTATTGCGCACCATATAAAACTATAAAAAATTATTTTCAATAATTTTTTTTGATAAATTTAACATTGAATTAAGAGGGAGAAGGGAGACAAGGGTTCAAGGAGAGAGCCCACCCGGGCCTCTGAACCAAAAAAGGGAGACAGGTCAATAATTTAAAATTACCAAATTACCTCCATCATTTTTCAGGGGAATTTCGGTCATTTTATAGTTTGGGAACTATTTTTTATATATTTTTTAATTGTGCACCTTATTTTTTAGTACACACGTCAAAAATTTCATTATGATCCGATTTCTAAAAAAAAATATTAAAATTCATATAGTGATATGCATTTTTCATTATAGCTGCCCAATTATTGTAAGGTTTACTCATATATAATATATATATATATATATATGGGTGTGATTTCTATAAGGTTGCAACCGTAAACAATCCAATTAAGATGCACCTCCAAATTTGATCATAATATGTAATTTTGGTGTAAAGCAATATTAGGATTATCTTAAAATCTATTTTAATCTCTAATTATAAAATTTGAAACTCCAAAAATGGATAAAATAAAGTAGGTTTATAAACATATGAAAATATTGAAAATGAATGGTTTAGATAATGTGTTGCAAGATGCACTATTTCTGTGACCCAAAATCTTTTTGTTTTCATATTTCCTACATCTCGATGCCGAGATGATCAATTAAAGGGTTTTTCAACATTAAAGCAACTTTTTCCGATGGATTTTTTAGGTGCATCCGTAATTCTACATTTTAAGATTGCAACCTTATATAAACTTTTTCCTATATATAGGAAAACTCTTTCCAACGCCTATACGCAAAAATGAATAGTGATTCTCCTACCCTCATCACAATCCAAGCTTCATCGTAAGGTCACAGTTATCCGGTAGTGTTTCAATTTTCATTCTTTTTCTACAAATCCAAATTACATGAAATTTGGAGCATGTGTATATCTTAGTGTAGTGCATCTAATAAAAATATGAAAAAAAAAAATCGTAAAATACAATTTGACCAAAATACCCCCAAAAATTTATGGGGTATTTTGATCAATTTATATTTTACGAATTATTTTTTTCATATTTTTATAAGATGCGCTTCACTAAGATGTACATAGGCTCCAAATTTCAGATCATTCCGACTAATAACAAAATAAAATAAAAATTGAAATACTACTGGACAACTGTGACCGTGCGATGAAGTTTGGATGGTGATGAGGGTAGGCGAAATTACTGTTCATTTTTGCCTATAGGCGTTTTGTAGTATCGTCCATATATATATATGTATGTATGTATTACAATACCAACTTAACACATGCATACTTCTAAATGTTCAGGTGGACATTTCACTAAGAATGCTGAGGGCAGGGAAGCATGTTCTACAAGGTGTGTGTTTTACTTACCTAGAATCTTCGAAAGGAAATAAGCATTGAACAACAAGAATAGGTTTGTATTACCGTCAGTAATGGATATTGCGAGATTGCTGGCTAATCTCTCTCTTCCTTGTCCTACATGTTAATGGGGTCATTCTAAAGAGAAACCAGCAGCAAGTTGTAAGTTACGCTTCTCTATTAACTTATTTTCTCAAATTTGGTTTTAGTTTTTGTCTTATTATTAATGCCGTAGTAGAATTACTTTGCAAACTCCAGAGAAGCGGCATGTGTGAAACAAAAAATTGAACTTGCAAGTTTCTTTTTCTTTTTCTAGTGTCATTTTTGTGCTGGTGGTGAATATGGTGTTATGTGTCTTAGTTGCAATTTTGTAACCATGGAATTTATATTGGATTAACTTTGACTTACCTCAGTATTCTCAAATGTTATGAATGAGTTTTTTCCCCATATCCTTTTGAAGTAATGGACACTTGTTTAATTTGTCATTCTGCAACTGTGCTACTTTAACTATCATATAGTTATCATTCAATTTGTAGAATCTTTTCGTTTCTTATTTATTCCCATCACTATTAAGAGCTTTGGATTTCTCTCATTGCGAGTCTCTTATAATTTTTAACTGTGATGAAATCTTAATTCCAGTCATATGAACTCTTGGGTATATTGTCTTACCATCCTATGCTTGTGAAATTTATTGGTTCCATTCCCATTAAGCCATATTTACTGATTACATGAATGATGATTTGTATGATTTATAAGATTATTACAATCAATTTGATCACTTTCTTGATCAGTCTAAGACATAATTTTGCAGCTCTGAGCGAAGCAGAAAATGCAATGTTGTTTTACCATTCTTTGCATGCCAATTTCCCTCATCGACCAATTTGGGCTGTTGCAGAGAATTATCGATTCGAGCCTGCTTTTGTGGAGGTTATGGCTAACTGATCCTGTTTACATTTACACTTATATTGCATACAACATTAAATGTACTCTACCGGTTCCAAACTTTTCTTGAATAACTTATAAATACTTGCAGTCACAAAGATTAGCAAAAGAAGTTGGTGACATGATGAGTGTGCAAGTCATTGTTGAGTCATCAATGAATAGCTCCAATCCCTATTTCTCAAGCTCATGGAGACGGAACTTTGCTGTAAGTTAGTAGCAAATGGTACATTAACGGTTGTTCTAAATGATTATTTTCAAGTATTAGTGCATGGTTTGTGAAAATGCTTTCATTTGCTTCGATTTATTTTCATTTTCTTCAAATTAGTCATCAAGGAATTCCTTTATTGCTCTAGTGGTGTTATGTTGCATTTGAATAGAGTTGGAAGCGAGCAGCATTAGAACTACATTTAAAGCTTCAAAGAAAACTTGGCAAAATAGAGCACAACGAGTCACTTGTGTACCAGGGTCACTGCAAATGAAAGACTGATTGTAAATATCTTTGAATCTTTCAGGGAGGTTTCATACTGGATATGGGGGTACATTTTGTTGCAGGATTGAGAATGGTAATCTCTTTTTTTTTTGGAACTGTTTACTATGACAATGGTAAATGTTTTAGTTGGTCCATTGCCATCATACAAGGCGATTTAGCACTTACTCTCAATTTTTTAAATGGGTATTACATTTTATTATGGTGAAAACAATATCGCTACAGTTTAAAGGTGGAAAGGTGTACTAAACTCAATGGACTACAAAACATTGTCTATTGGGGTCACCATAGTCAAATGATAAATGGTGTTCATCTCTGTCCACCATTTCATTGGAGAATGATGCACTGCTGGATTGGTGTATTTCTTCTCTCCTATGTTTCTTTGTACCTCTCAGTTGTGAATATACCCTCTATCATCTATACAGACCTAATGTTCTACTAGATAACATCTACACTAATTGTATTATAATTCTTGTTTCTTGAAACAGATTGTTGGATATGAGGTGACATCGATCTCTGCTATTTCTCGCCATGTTGATACCAGTCTGCCTCCGCCAGATAACGTTTGTGCGGTATTGTATGTTTCTAATTGTTAGAAGTACTTAATAAACGAAATATTTGAGGCTCTCGGATGTTCGGAGCTGATAATATTCTTTGTTATTAGTCAGCTAGAAAATGGCTGTGGCGGAGTGCTCGTGTTGTCTGTTTCCACGAGATCACCCAAGGTAATTAGTTACTTATATCTTTCATGACAATATGACGTGTCTCATAGTGGTATTCGTTGTCTTAAGCAAATCTTTGTCGAAATAAATCAATGTCATATTCTCAAATATTGTCCAGTGGGCAAACGAGACTGTAGTGACGATTACTTTTCTATATAAAGAGTTAGTAGTTCTGGGAATTTGAAGATTTCTCATCACTTACCAGTATATGGGGACACTTAATGAAATCATGTAATCAGCATCAAATTCAGAGTGGTTTAATTTGTTTAGAATTTTATCTTTTAGTGTAGGTGTGATACTAGTATATAGTATGTTAAATGGCTGCATTTATGGGGGATTCTGTGTCTTCTTCTAAACTTCAATAGAACACTCTAATTAGAATGTGTTCTTTCAGTAGGTAAACTGGATTGAAAACCATAATCTGAAGGTGGCTACAATGATCCTTCCAATTGAAATGTAGGCTAGCAACCTATATAATTAGAAACATCACAAACAAGATACCTTTTATAATTAGTCTTTGATATCATTGGCATAACATTTCTTTATGGCGCCATTATTGGTAGATCTGAAATACCTTAACAGCTACAACAATGATTAATTTCCAACAATAATGTCTTAATAGTTTTCTATTGATGAAGTTGATACTTTTTCATTTTACATTTTCTTGTAAGAAACAATATGCCGTTAGCCATGAGGCATCCAAGGAAGGACTGGGAGGGACTCGGGCCAGACCCTTTCAAATTGGAGCCCTAGACCTATTTTTAAAAACTGCTATAATCTAATGGACTGAAAAACCACAGTGCTGTTAGTCATCACTTTTCCTGAAATACTGAATGGTCATGGAAAGAGTGGGGCTGACCAGAAAAAAGAAATTGCCACAATAGTGTTCCTATGTTTCCATCGCCTTCAATGATCTACAGTTTTCCCAAAATTCATTTGATTGTAGTATACTTTCTCTGAGGTTTGGTGCCTTGCTTCTCAATTGCCATGTGATTGCAGATATCTTGGCGAGTTGTTGGCTCAAAGGGATCTGTTGAAACTGAACGTGGAATCAGAAATGGGCAGCATGGTTACACAGTAAGGCCAAATCAAATGCCACTTTGGTATATTCTCCTGTAATTATAAGCTTGAATTGAATAGAAGGGAATCCATTAAGAAATTATTGTATACTGTTCTTTTGCATGAAAAGTGGTGGGTGCTATGAAGTGTTTACTTTACTAACCATTTAATGGCAGGTAACATACAGCCCTGCCGGTGAACCGCCTCAATGTTCATTTTATCCATTTTGTGGAGTAAATGAAGAATTGAAAGCTTTTGTCCAAGACATTTCACAGGCAAACCTTAAGGTATGAAGTCTCTAATTGTATGTTAGTGATAATGGATACAATGCACATACCTTTCTCTTCTGCCCATTACATTCTTTTTCGACTTTTTCTTCTTCTGTTTAGTCATTTAATTGTAAAATTTTGTAGTGCATTTCATTTTTTCGACCTAAGTCTATTAATACTCACTTGTGGTATAGGCTGTCCATTGAACACCGCAGAGGAGAGGAAAGAACTAAAAATTGTTTTGCAAGGTCCAACAAACATAGGGTTCCAGTTGGTGCATACCATGTTTTCATGCAATCTCTGATTCTAAAGTTATAGGGCTTGTACTAGAAATCTGACCACCCTATGTGCATGTTAGAATGTCCCCTATTTAATTTATTTATGTATATAATTTTGGGGTTCTATTCCACCAAAATTGGTTTCCTTGTTTTGTACTGTGGAAGTTTTATTTGCTGAGAAATTACAAGTGAATTTTTATTTACTGCCTTGTGTAGGATGGTGAAGCATATGAACCAGACCCTCGTGGTACGTATTTAGAGGGGGCTCGGGATGTTGCACTTGTTGAGGCAATGCTTGAATCCGGTTTGAAGAATGGAGAGCTGTTCCATGTCAAAAAGCTATAAATACTGACCTTTGGCTCACCTATTTTCAAGAGGATCATATTTAGATAATAAAGAGGAAAAAGAAAGGAAAAATATGTGATATTGCCTTTATATGAGTAGCCATTGTGATTTAGGGACTGGGATTTTACCAAGGATATTGCATTGACAAATTAGAGATTTATTGAAGAAAGTCTGTTGGTTAATCCTTCTACTAGGACTCGAAATATAACACCAAGTGCAGTTTCGAACATAGAATATATCAAAATATTCACCATCATATGTTCAAAACCATCATAGAATGAAAAGAGCATGGCATTTGACCCATGTGCCAATGCTGGAGTTTTAATCGATACGCCGATGTCATATTTTTGCAATTTACTAACCCAAGTGCAGTTTCAAACACACCGAGATAGGGTTATTTGGAGGAAGCTAAATATAGAATGTCAAAATATTTTACTATCATATGTTCAAAACCACCATAAAGATGAAAAGAGCATGGCATTTGACCCATGTGCCAATGCCGGAGTTTTAATCAATATGCCAATGTCATATTTTTGCAATCTATCTTAAGAAGGGTTTGCAACTCTGAATCATTTCACGTTTTGGGTAAAATCAGGTTTTTATGGCTCTTCACATAACAGTTTAGCTACACTTCACCGTGCAGTTCTTTCACGAAAACTCTGGTCTCATATCTCACGTGCTTGCTCCTCAGCACCTAGGCACGTACCGCATAATATGTATAGAGAGAGAGAGGGGGAGGGGGAAATGGGAGAAATGTTCTTCACATTTGTAATTCAAATGTAAAATAGAGCCGTTCTCAATTAGTTGGAAAAAAGTTTCTCAATTAGTTGGAAAAAAGTTGACTACGATGATAATTTGTAATTCAAAAATAAAAGAAGTGTTTTTGAAATTTACTAATCCATCTTAAGAAGTGTTTGCAACTATATGACTCATTTCACGTTTTGGCAAAATCAGGTTTGGCTCTTCACATAACGGTTTAGCTATACTCCATCGTGCAGTCCTTTCAGGAAAACTAGTCTTACACCTCACGTGCTTGTTCCTCGGCACCTAGGCACATACCACGTACCACATAATGTGTAGAGGGAGGCAGGGAGGGAGAGAAAAAAGGGAAAGAGATGGGGATGGGGACGGGGACGGGGACGGGGGCCGGGGGAGGGGGAGGGGGAGGGGGTGGGAGACATGTTTGTGACATTTGTAATTCAAAATAAAGCCGACTTCAATTAGTTGGAAAAAAGCTTCAATTAGTTGGAAAAAAGTTTTGACAATGTTGATTTGTAATTCAAAAATAAAAGAACTGCATTTACCGGTATTCTAACAGTCGAGCTCCTTTTGATTGTGCATCCAAATGGATTGACATTCCATATTTTAAATTTATAACATACTCCAGTCACCAAGACAGCATCGGGAAGAACAATACTCTAATATGGTTTCACCAGCCTTTGTAGCATTCGTTATAAATATCTGGAGAAAACAATTTTGGAGAAAACAATTTTAACTTTTGACTTGCCCAATGAAAATATGGAGATACATCTAAGCAATCAAAAGCAATTACAGTCATAACTTGATTACAACAGTTCTAAAAAACAGCAACAGTATTCTATGCTTTTCTATTGTATACAGAGAGAGAGAGAGGTCATCCACATTCATAGTGATACTAAGGTTTGAGGCAATTAAATACTTAAATACACATCAAACATGAAATGAATCATTCTCAGACTACACAGTTTTTACACGAAAGCCTGAAAGTAAATCAGCGAGGCATCGAAAAAGAAAAAGGATTAAGAAGAGACGGTAAAACTGGCCATTGTCATTTATATGCTCTCGAAATGGCAGTATATCAGGATACAAAAATTTCCTGCAAATCAGTCTCCCTGAAGGCAATAAAGCTGGCGGATGTTTCCTGATGCTGTAAAATTAAAAAAAGGGCAATATTAATGTAAGTTCTTCAAAGTTGACTACCACCACTTTTAACTTTTCACGTGAAAGATTGGTTTTCAGAAGTGGAAGAAGTCAAGACTATAAGAATCTGAAAAAAACAAAAAAAAATAGAAGAAGAGCACCACCATATAACCATTCCTTGAAGTATACATGAAGTGCGCTATTCAATTCTCGCTTTCTATTCTCCTCGAGCTGGGCCTCAATCAGGGCTTGTTTGATTTCATTCAGCACCATGGACTGTAAAAAGGAAGAACGCATTCAGACAGGGAGAGAGAGAGAAGGAAGAAAACATTCAAGGGGAGGAAAGAGAGAGAGAGAAGAGAGAGCAGCAGCCGCAGCATTTTAAGTGAAAGAGCAGCATGATCAAGCCATAGCCAGCCCACACAATGAGCAGCAGCAGCATTTTAAGTGAAAGAGCAGCATGATAGAGCCATAGCCAGCCCACACAATGAGAAATTGCAAGGTACAACTTAAGTACTAATATGCCTTTCACCCATCAAGAAAAAGGGAAATATTATGGTGAATAGTTAACAAAAGAGGCATTGAAAATGGAGCATGACTAGTCCGACTGACCTTTTTCTTTTGTGATGCCTCATAAGCCACCGGCAAACGGAAAGGGTTGTGTTCAAGACGTTTTTCAGTCTCTGGCATATTGTCTCCAAGCGACCTGGGAATCTGAAAGCCAGTAAAGTATAACCAAGTGGGTAGAAGAAAAGATAAACTAACAAATTGGGCACAAAAAAATACAATTAAATAGGTAGAAAAGCTGCAATCTTGCATGATGAAAACGCTTATTTAATGTATCAAATACACTCGTTAACACTTAGATTAAAAACTGGCGAGCTATTCACAGCAGATATTTATAGAGTGGCATAGGAAGATAAATTCATGCAACCCATCCACTGGGTCCTACTTGGAATGGAGAGAGAGAGAGAGAGAGAGAGACCACAAATGTCATGAAATTATCTGGTTCAAGGCATGAGGCAGACTCGGCCTGAACATCAGACACCCCTGCTGGATGAGAGAGAGAATCATGGGGATCAATCATTCCCAAGGCCAAAGGTTCATCCCATCTGTTGATATTTGGGTCCACACCAATTTGAGTCATGTGCTGGCCCAGCTGTGTATAGTAAGTATTGTATGGTGCCACCTGATGGGAAAATAGAGAAACTACAATAGTACAAAATGTAGGACACCAAACAAATATATCCATAATTTTCCATAAAAAACAAAATTTAATTACTATCCATAACAAGATAGATCAACAAAAAATTAGTCGCATCCATTTATGTTTCAGTAGGTTACAGGTATAAAATGCCGTATTCCTTTTTCATTTATATATATATATATATATATATATATATATATATATATATAT